CTAAATATTCTCCCACTAAAAAAAAAAAATAAAAAAAAAATCAGGCATCAGTGCAACTTTGTTTTTCAAGGATCCAGGCGCAGCGGCTCCAAGAAGCACCCGGGTCCAACGCTGCACCCAGATGGAGAGGTGCAGGACATCTGGCTGGCGGCTCAGAGGGGGGACCAGGCAGCAAACAACTCCTCAGCAGGTGCACAGCAGTGTTTGGGGGGGGTAAATTTTATTTTTGGATGGTATTCTTCTAAAGCAAGTCCTTTCTTAAGGTATTTGCCTGTAGTCCTAAGCCCTCAAAGCCCTCTTCTCAGGGGGAAGAGATCTCAGGATCAGGAAGGTAAAGCGTCTTTAAGTTGAGAGGATTTTTTGAAGGCAGGGTACATTGCAAAACCAGCTTTACATCCCTCTCCTCCCCAAGGCATGGCCACGTTATAAATCAGCCTCCCAGTTACTGGCAGTGTCTGCAGCAGAGGGCAACACTGACCAGCTCTGGGCTGGGACTCCAGTGCTGCCAGGATCCCTGAAGAAGGAACATCCCACCCCGCCTCCCCTCCAGGCTCTTCTAGACCAGAAACTCTCTGGGCCGAACCCTCTCCATGCCGCAGTGCCATGGCGAGGCGGCTGTCACCATTAGGGCCTGCAGGCATGATGGCAATACGGATAAGACACAAATTTACTATAATTTCACTTGCAGATTTAGCAAAGCAATCGTCACACTCAGTCCTGCCCTTCTCTGCATCACCGCTCACCCTCCCTCCAGATTCTGTCCCTCACTGTCGCTCTCTTGCAAGTAAGGGGCAAATTTGCCTATTTGGCAGACTCTTCCCTTCCTTTCACGTTGGATTTTTTGGCTAGCTCTCTGGTACACTAGGACAGACTAGCAAAAACCAGAAAAAATAGAGATACAGAAGATACTGGTCCAGTTGCCTGCCCAGATTTAGCAGGAGGGAGGTGTGAGCCCATTTAAGGAACCAGAGTTGGATGGATGGGGAAAAAAAGCACTCTGCAATCCCAACAGCATGCCATCAAACACGCTTCAACAAAGCTTCCCTAACACTCCCTCCTTGCTTGCAAGCACCTGCCTGTTGATGGGCTCTGGCATCACGGTCCCCCCCAGGGACTCTGAATCTACAGTATTTATCTCTTGAGGCTCACTTTGAGCTCACACTTGGAAACGCTCCCACACACTCAGCTTCATGTCTCTCCCCTCAACAGCCCCAGGTGGGTCTCAGCTAAGGGAGAACTGGGAAACTACAAAGCATGGAGTGATTCCTAAGAAGAGCAGTACTGAGACTGGGGGAGGGAAGAAAGCAGAGTTTTAGTAGCCAAATAATTGCTTGTTGAGGGATTAGCTTTCCAGTCTTCAGCTCCATTTGTCAGTGTGAGATGGTATCACGTTTCCATACTCCAGGAAAGAAAGGTTTGGGAAATCTCCTTACCACCATGAGTAAGTGGTGCAGCCGCTGAGAGAGACCTGCTCCTCAGGATCCTTCTGAGAAGCCAGTGGGCAAGGGTGCAGACCAGGGCACAGAGCACAGCAGACCAAAGCCACATTAAACTGTCTCTCTAGGACAGACCAGCCGCTGATCAGAGCAAAACATCCCCCAGACTCAGAGTGGGAGACTCACCTGGAACCCTGGATCGGAGGAAGTAGAGAAACTTCCCGTTTTTGGAGTGCATGATTGCTCTCTTTATGAACTCCACCACAGACTGGCAGCGGTCTTCAAACTTAGGATGGCACCACAGGCTGAAGGTCCCTTCCAAGAGAACAGAAAGAGTGTCACGTTATAGGAGCACTGGTGGCAAGAGGAGACATTTAGTCATGAGTTGATGTTCTCAAAGACCAAGTGAATGCCCCAGGCTGACTACTTCAGAGCAGGATGAGGCAGGGCACTAAGAAGAAACACCAGTGGCACCAGCTTGCAAGGATGCTGTTCTACTGGAACCAGTGCTCTCCAAGAGCTGAGGATACGCAGAAAGACGTTAATAGCGTGACCACTGTAACCCAAGCGTGGCTACAAGTCATGCTTGCCTGAGCTTGTAAACAGCCTGCAATGACTGCTAGGTCTAAAACTTAAAACTATCAGAACACACAGAGCATTAGCAGAGAGTGCAGAGGAGCAGGGGTATCTCAGCAGCAGCACTCCCAGAGAAAGCTAGTGCATCTGAGCAGTTAAGGCCACACGTAGATGTGTGTAAAAACAGCGATCCAGGTGCTGAAGTCCTCTTCCGCCAGCCCTACGGCTGTCAAGGATCACTTAGAGCAGGCACAGGAACGGCTCCGTGTTCTAGCCAGCTGCTTCAAACGCCTGAATTCAACTTACTGGCAAGCTAGAACCAGGGTCGAGATGCACCGACACAGTCCCACCCATACCGCTATCCGACACGACGCATGCATTGAGCTCAAGTGGCAAACAAGGAAACCGGAGATGGGCAACACAGGGCAAGCAGGCCCTCTAACCTGTTTACGGATCTCTAATTAGCTTAGTTGAAGCCTCAAGCCAGACCAGTCTCACGATCTTTGTGCTGCAACCAGACACCCCCCTCCTCGCACCAGAACGCAGCCCTGTTCATCCCCCTTACTCGCCAAAATGCTGCCTGCATCCCCCCATGCACCTCCCTTTCCACCTGCAGATTTGTCAGTGCTCCAGCAAGAGCCACCGCAGAGCAGAGCTTCACCAGGAGCAGCAAAACGGGCAAAGAAGGGCGCAGTTTAGGATGGAGGCCAGGCTCACGCCTGCGGGGGGGCCAGATTCTGGCAGGAGGTGTGTGACACCACTCATCTGCACAAGCACTGTAACCCAGAGCCAGAAAGGCAGCCGAGAGACTTGGAAAACACCCTGCATCCACGTGAATTATGAGTTTGGCTACACCTCCTCCTCGTGCTAAGGAGACCATGTAGCCAAATCAGAGGTACCCAACACGTACTTCAGCCCAGGGACTTTTTGGAAGAGCAGCTCCCCCAGCATCATCACAAGCTCCGCAGCACCAACCTGCTACAGGAAAACTAGCGGAAGAACCTCTGTAGGATGTCCAGCACTTACAGCTTTCTGCAGGGAGGGTGGCAACCAGCAATACAGGGGCTGTATAAAGCCCAGAAAATTTAAAACATCATCTCCTCTCCCCACAGCTAGATCTGGTAAGTTTTATTGGGAAAAGATGCCTCTCCCCCCTGCCACAGACCAGTTTGAGAGCAATAATCTAGGTTAGCATCTGCTAGACATGTCAGTAAGCACAAAAATGAGTAATTCCTCTTGGGAACCTGAGATCTGAACGAGCTCTTAAAAGTGACCAGTAGATGCAAAGGACGAAGCACAAACACCAGCCTCCCCAGCTCGCCTACTCAGCTCGCCAAAAAAGCCACAAAAATTCTGGTTTCTTCCTCTCATCTACCCGAAACCTGAAGGTCAAGCATTTATCTCTCTACCATTCCCCCAGCCTCACCATTTGTCATCTTCATTGGTTTATCAAAGTGCTCAGCTCTGCAGTTTTCCACACTGCCGCAGCACAGTCAGCACGAGGCAGCCAGTCCTGGGGGGAGCACAGGGCTGCCGACGCAGACCGAAGCGCTGCACCCAAAAATGAAATCCTTGATGCGGTGCCACGGCTGGGAGGGCTGCTCTAGGGAAGGTGGCAGCACCAGCCTTCAATCCATGCGGCAAGAAGGACAGCTTGAGGAAAAGGAAGGACATCTGGCTAAGGAAGCTCCGAGAACAAATGTATCCTGGCCTCAAAATAAGAAGCCAGACCAGCAGCAAGAGAAGTTTGCTCCAAAGCTCAATTATGAAAAAGTACCCACTGTACAGGCAGCCTCACATCTCCAGCTGCAAGAGCTTCAGTAATTTCTGTAAGGACAGGGTGATGAAAATCCTTCCTTCTTACGCAACGGTCAGGGACAGGGGAACTGGCTCTAGACGGGCTAGAATTAACGCTGGGGCAACTTTCCATCAGCAGGGCTCAAGACCAGAAGCACTGCCAGGTTTCTTAGCTCTGCACCTGCAACGCGAGCAGAAGTGGAGGAATTACAGAATCATAGAATCCTTTAGGTTGGAAAAGACCTTTAAGATCGAGTCCAACCGTTTGGAAGACAACAGCAGCATCCCTGGGGCAAGGGCAAACAGGAGAAAAAGATGAGCTTTGCTCTGAAAGGTTGCAAACCACTGTTTTCTCCAGCAGGTTGTCTGGGAAGCCTCTGAACCCATTATTTGCAGGCACATTTAATGACAAGGCTCTGTAGGCAGCTGTTATTAAAGCTTGCCCACTGGTTACAGGGCAGCTTCCCCTCGTGCATCGAGCCCCTCGGGCATTTTGCTGGTCCGAGGACAGCTGTGTGCACAAGGGCTCAATACAGAAAACCACACACGGAGGTGAGCAGGCAAAGCGTGCGGGTGAGGTGAGAAGCAGCCCACGCAGGAGGGGAGCGTAGCAGGAAGAAAGGGCACGAACAGCGTGCCAAGAGTTCTCGGAATAAAAACCCACCAGGGTGGAGCTAAAACCTCAGCCTGGAACCGACTGCAGCTGGTACCACCGCCGAGCATCCCTTGGATGGGGGAGAACAAAGCAAGGTGACAAGCCACAACATCAAGAGATCACCTCTCATTTCACAGTGAAACAAGCTTCATTTCAGGAAGCACTGAGAGCTACGAATGATGGCTCTTGCTGCACATCGCGTCTCAGCGACACGGGATCCCAAAGACCTTGCCATCACCATTTTCTTTGAGTCCAGTTTTGCAAAGCAAGGCCTGAGGACAGGCACATACACAAGACTCCCGTATTCCCCAATTTCTCACAGTTATAAGGAGAGCTGTTGCTTGAGGCACAAGAAGCAAAGTCAAATGCAGCTTCTAAGGCCTCTTGCAGAACTTGCATTGCTGCTGCTCCCCCTCCTCTGCCAGCTCGGTGCCCAGAGCACTGCTCTGGGACCCCGCAATCAGACCGGTCCCCAGCCACAGGCCTCCGCTGGCAGCGGCAGCCCTAGACCTGCCCGTGGCTCTTACCTCTGTAGTGCTCCATCCTGGTGTGGTGGGTGATGCCCTGCGACCGAAAGCTGAGGCTCAGGATGTAACGGGGGTCAGAACTGTCTCGAACCAGAAAGGAGCCGTCCGGCTTGCCCTTCAGCTTCATCTCTGCGTCCTCCCAGTTCATCGGTCCCCAGTACCACCCGCACTAGGAAAAGAGGCAGACAGGACATCAGCAGATACCAGCAAGAAAGATTTTATCAGCAACCAAACACAATACAATTTTCTCTTCCTGTTACTCCCCTTTAAATGCCAAAATGGAAGTGCCTGGTTGTATCCACCCAGGAGCATGGACGGTTGGGACTCGCTGCTCCTGGATGAAAGCGCACCATCACATCCCTTACAACCCACAAGCGGTGAAAGGACAGATGAGACTACAACACCCCTTCCACGCACAACAAAATGCTTTTCTAGATTCAAAGACCTCACTGGGAGAAAGGCAGGAGGTTTGCTGCGTTTTTTTCAGTCCTATCCTAATCTTACGCTCCTAAGTCTGTAAAAAGGATGATCAGTCCCCAAAAACGGAGCCTAGACCTGCAGTCTTTTCCTTCTGGCTGCCACCGTCACCCCCGCCACGTTACCGTTACCTTCTCCAGCTCTCGCAAGCTGGCTGCGAAGCTGCTGGAGTCCGGGCGGTAGAGCGGACACTGCAGGTGTGGGGCAGGCTGGCCGGGCATCGCCTCCATCGGCCTCAGCGGGACAATCCGTGGGAAGGCGTCTGCAGAGGGAGAAACAGCCCGGGCTACGGTCACCCGCGGGGAGCCCACCCCAAGGACGAGCTGCCCCGTCCCCCCGTACGGCTCTGGAGGGCAGGGCAGGCGGGGCAGAGCTGCAGCGTGGAGGAGGAAGCTGGGCTGACCGATGGAAGGACAACGTCCTTGGGAAGGACACGGCCGGAGTCACTACCTGGCTTTTCCAAGGTGACTAACTCAGTGCCTTCACCTGCTATTTCCTTATGCCAGCTCGGAGGGAAGGCAGGGAAGTGCCAGGCAGCACAGACTGGAAGGAATGAACACGCATCCTGAAAAAGGGGCAGTTAAAGCCCTCTGGGTCCTGAAGGAAACCAAGAGCAAAAGGGTAGATGCACAGGAAACATCCTCGTGTGCTGTTCAGCTGGACCGCACCCCAGGCTGGCTGGGAAAGCTGGGGCTCCTGCACTGATCCTTGCTCCCACGGCTCTTTTCCAACATTGCCGACACTCGCTAACACATTACCTGACGCAGCACAAGTGGGGGTGGTTTTTTGAACCCAAGAGAAACCAGAGGAAACGGGAGATGCGAGCCACACCGCGCGGAAACCAGAGCCTTGACACAACAGTGCCCGAGCACTCAGCAGCGTAGGACTGCGTGACCCTGAGCGGCAACGCAGGCAGCACCGGTGCTGTTAAAGCTTGAAGTGCAGCCTTAAAGTTTACCAAACACCCCCAAAGTCCAGATCCCTTGAAGGGAAAGCCAGAGCCTTGCCGCTAAAGCTAAGCTGACCTGGGGCGTGGGGCGGAGGAGGCGGAGGCAGAGGGAAAGACTGCAGGGAGGAGCCCATCGGACCCACTAGGACAGATGTAGGCAGCGTCCCACTGATATCATCTAGGAGAGAACAGAGGCAAGAGAGATTCAGAAAACAGGAAAGCGAGCTCTGCACTGCCGAGCACCTGAGAACACAGCCCGAGCAAGCGGCACTCGGCGCTGCCTGGAGAAGCGAAGACGGAGCTGCCCACCGGCGGCACCGCACCAACCTCCTCCGGCTTCTTAGGG